GGTTTTGTTGTTCTCCCGCCCTGGCGGGGGGTCGGGCTAGAAGGTCTACTAGGTCCCTTCCGACCCTAAATCTATGAAACTATGAAAGAGAGAGTCCTGGCCCTAAACAGCTTACAGTCTAAAAAGACAGGACAGACAAAAGGTGGGATGGGAAACAAAGGTCCAGAAAGGTGAAGTGACTTGTCTAATGTCACCCAGAAAGTCTGTGATACAGTTGAGGTTACAACCCATGTTTCCTGTCAACTCATTGTTTTATCAACTACAGCACCTTGCTACTTGTGTCGGGATAAGTGAGGAGTTCCTTTTTATTAAGTTATATCAATTTTGCCAAGGCACCTTATTCTTTCAGTTATCTTTACTGAAAGGAATTCAAAAACATACCCGATAATTAACAAGGAGTACAAATATTAACTTGATTCTCTGAAGCACTAAAGTCAAAACAAAAACCCAGTAAGAGTAAAATACTCTCTAGAGATACTTGTTCTGGGTTATTTCTGGATACAACAGAACACACACACAGTTTTCCTGACCCTCTGTAAAGGAATATATAAACCTTGGGGGGGGGGGGAAACAAAACATGCATCAGATTTCTGAGGCTTTCATTTTCACAGCTAAGTGTCTTGGAATATTCCCTATAGCAATGAAGAAAGATGACCCAGGGAGCAAGTGGCATACTTTCAGTTATGTCATTTCCATGTTACTTGGGGATTTCTTTACAATGGGACCCTTCAGTAACTCCTGCTTACCATGGAAGCTGCCAGGGGGAAGAGATGAGTATCTCAGCACCACTCATACACCATTTACATGGGAGGAAACTAAGAATTACAGCAAGTTCTCCTGGGAAAAATGTTGCTACAAATGGAGCTTTTTACCCTACATAAAGCAAACTCATCTTTAAGTACATTTGAGCCATAAGAAGTAGAATTTTAAGAAAAGCAGGATTGAAGGGGACATGCCACCAACACAGACATCTATTTTTCTTGGCAAATTAGCAATACAGTTATATTGTGTTAAATCCTGTTAAAAAGGGAACAATGCTTTTTTTTAAAACAAGGAATAGATTCATCCTAATGATCTTGTCGCTGAGCAGGTGAAACATGCTAAGCAAAGATGAATAAACTTTGCAAATCATTTCAATGGAGTCCTTTGTGCAACTGTTGTTATGATACAGAGGAATTGCTGGAAATACTCTGCAGAGCAATGCTGATATCATAATTGGCTTCCACAAAAGCACATTAATGCAGGCCGGCAGATAAAAGTGGGTCAGCTTCCACTTACCAAGGCAGTTTAAAATGAAAGGCTGAACTGCACTGAAGGGATGGAAATTGTATGGGAGCTGTTGGGTACTACGATAAATGTTTTTTATTTCACATGGGAAGAAATAGTGGATCCTCTTCAGATCCTTGAATATGGACGCTGAGCTGTTCTTTCATTTGCTGTTACCATCATCCTTTGCCGGATGCAAATCACTAACATGGCCTGGACCCCACCAACTGTGTAAGAAAAGATAGCAACACATATTCCCTTTGCACTCGGGCATTTACATGCGAGTATTACCAAAAAAAACCTCAATGCACTACAACCCTGACTCAAGGTTTTCAACTATGCAAAGAGCCCCATCTTCACTATCCCAGTTCTCCCAGCAGCCTGACTACAGGTCAAAGAGTATTCCATTGCTAAGGCTGCAGAGATCTGCAAAGGAAATGCGTAGTTGTGGTGAGAAAAGGATGCTATGTTAATGCTTCTGAAGCAATAGCCTAGGCTCTTCTCACATTCAAAGTTCTCCTTACTTCCTCTCCATACAGAACTCTGCCCTCTTCTCTTCTGATTTTGCCTCCAAGTCACTTCCATCCACTTGCGCTTCTCTTTGGTTTTCCTGTGCGTTTCCTTTCACTCCAGGTTTCCTGTCACCTTTCATACCGCCCCTGGGCCTCAAAGAACAGCCTAGTCAAGAGCAAAAATCAACAAAAGGGCTCCCAGTGATTTCAGTAAGCTTTGGTATAGATCTTAATGCAGATCTGTACCCTCCCTTTAAAACAGGATCTGAAAAGGCACTTACTTTACAAAGCTCTCTTGCTTCTGTGAACAGATCCTGCTTAATACTATACGCCCCATCCTTCACAATGGTAAATCAGCATGCTACAGGAGCAAGCTATGTTTGTAACGTAGCCACCGTATCTGCGCACCTTAAGCTCCTCAGGACAGGGATTTGTAATTTATTTGGCATGTTGTATGTATTGTGTAGGGCCACACCAACAGCACCAGGCAAACAAACAAGAGCACGTCCTTCTGGAAGTTATTTTTGTGGCAGTCTAATAAACTGTTTGAATGCACCCATATTTAGAGACATTTTTTCCCCTTGGAAGAGTGTATTCATTTCCCACAGCACTTGCTGTCTAGACAGAGCAGTAGGGCACAGTCTCTAGAGCAGGGGCTAGGTGGACTGAGACTCCCTTGGGAAACCATCCCAGACTCTAATTGACTGGATTGTTAGGCAGTTTTTCCTGATGTCCAACTTAAATTTGTCTTTTGCTCAATTTCATCCCATCACTTCCAATTACTTCTTAGTGAACTGCCCAAAACAATCCTCCCTGCTTCTGACAAAGAGAACGTGGCAAACCTCTCTCTTGATACCACACCTCTACTTTGCAACTCACTGGCAATTCTGACCTTTTTTCTCATTTTCTTCTGATGTCAAAGGTATTATACTATTAGCAAAAGAAAACATAAGTGTGTGCGTCAAAACAGGGATTGTCCACTCTCCTGTTCTCCACTCCCTCTCCCTCCTCCACTGACGGTGAAGTTCAATAATACTGGAAAGAAAGCCTTCCTAGGGCTAAGGAACCTTCTTGCAGGAGACAGCCCCCATGTCTGTCCGGACAAGCGTGGAAAATCTTGTTCTTTTCTGTCCTTAATACAAGGTTCAAAACAAGGTGGGTACAAAATGGCATAAGAAAGTTGAAACAGCCCTCACAGGATATATAATGATGGAAAAAGAACATTCAGCTTTCCCTCAACTACTTGAAAACTCAGTAACAGAAATATCTAGCATTCCTCCTTACTTCTTCAAGAACATGACAATTTTACATCTCAAAATCTGCTACCATCCATGTGCAGTCCCAGCAAAAGAGGCTTGCTGACAATAATCAGTATATGAAAGGTGACATCCACAAGATTTCAGCAGCTTAGACTTTCAAAAGGAGTCCAAATTCAGAGAGCTAAATCTGAAAAGAAAGCCATGGGAAGAAAAATAGGCACAGTGCACCTGCTCTAGGAAATGTTCATCTCTGTGTCCCTGATCATCTGAGTCCAAACCAAATGCTTGAGGACTTACGGTCTCAGTCCACAAGTGTATGGGGATGGTGGAGAAAGTGTGCTGGTAAAGGTGCTTTAATCTAATCATAGGACAAAGTCCTGGAACAATTTAAAGCAGCCATAAAGTTATAATGACCTACTCTGGATATAACATGGATGACACTTACGCAGGCAATGCACTCTAGCACCTGAAACAGGAGCTTCCAGCCCTCACAAAGATCAGACACCAGCTACATCACCTTGCAATCCTATGCTGGGGTGATCCTCAGTTGTCATTTTAACACAGGTTTGCAGTACCTCTGCACCAGTCCAGTGGACAAAGGGACATTGTGCCAAGCCAAGGATGCATTCTGTGTTCCTGGTAATACACTATCATTATTTGCTAAATCCCTCCTGTGCAATTAAGAGTCTGGACTGTGGACATTTCTGCAGTACAGTTATGTAATTGCAGAAACCACATGGACAACCGACTACACAATACATGTCCCTTTTACCCCCAGCTACTGTATGCAGTCATGGTAATTGCACTGGCAAATTGTGTGCATTTTTAGGAGCTGTTCTTGTTAATGGTAGGGATGTGTGATGGCCACATTAGACTTCTTTGCTGTTATTTTATGTAAATTGAAGTTAAAACGATTTAATGAAATAAATATGAGTCTGTAGCAAAAGGGAACTGTGCACATGTGGAATAATCTGGGCTCAATGTGAACTGTCATCACTAATGAATCTTGAATCTCATTCTGTTTGGGGAACAGAATGTTAAAACAGCTGAAGTCGTTCTCTTACAGTAGCTGGGAATCGATACAGAGCCACTTGAATCAGCAATTTCCTGGCTGCCAGTCAATCTCATAAATGCTATAATACAGTTCTAAGCAAAGGCCACGAAATGAATCACTTGATTTATAAGCCGGCATTGAGAACAAGGTGAAGGGCATTATCACAGTTTGCAAGTGGTGTTAAGCTTAGGCCTTGATACAGCTGCTTACGCTGTGCTTGATGTGCCTTACCTGCCCAAGCTGTTCACAGGCAGTTTGATATTCAGCTCGCTGGCAGAGGTCTTTAACCCGCTGGTATTTAGGCAGGAAGTTTTCTTCCTGAGCATCCACTTTCTCATTTTCCCTTTTGTGCAACAGTTTACTGCAGAGAGAAAAGAAACAGTTCTATCAAAGTTCTTTCTAAGGATGACACAGGTTCTGCCAGAGGGGCTCAAACCACTGCCAGTGACCAAAGTTTAATGCTCTGAAAGAAACTGAACTACCTCTCTCACCTTCTCTGGTTAATCGCACTAGGCTGCAAATGGGTGAAGGGGAGATCCCGACTCCTACGCAGCCCCTATTGGCTCCTGAAGTCTTTATTAGATTACCCCAGTTCGAGCATGCATAACTGCAAGGGTTAGTAGAGTTGAGCTCATATGGGAACTGCAGATCAGGACATCCCAAACTTTGGGGAAGCAGGAGATTCAAAAATCCAACTGCAAACTCAGAGCAGAACCTTGAGGTTCATGTTTTACTCAAGCTATTGTTGTTTGAAAAATGATGCAGTCCCATTTAAAAGTCTGGTGGGCCGAGGTACTAGGCTGGAGTCCCTGGAAAGAGGATATAAAGGTGCCCACATAATAACTCTCCTGAGTGCCACAGGGCTACACTCTGCCTTTGTTCCCTGTCCTCCATAGTGTGGCGGGGCAGAGGTGCAAGGCCACAGCCAGATGATCCATAACTGGAAAGGTTCATTACCTTTTACTCTCCCTCTGCCACACAAGGCTTAGGTAGTGGTCAGGGCACTGTTCCCTTTCTTGGGCTTGCAGGAAATGAGCAGGGGCAGGATTCATTCCTTCCCACCCCAGAACTTCTGCAGAAGTCATGTATGCACAGCACACGAAAGCTGGGCTGGACTTCAACCCTTCAAACCAACGCGAAACTACTGTGGAGTCTTTCCTACCATACACCATTGCCATTAGAGATATTGCAGCAATGCCACCGCAGGGGTGGGTATGTGATGCTAGGCGTGTGTTTTCATATGTCAGCAGAGACAGCTTTGGTTCTAGTCATGTAGGATCCTCCTATTTAGGGTGACCGGGCTCTGTGGTTAACTCTTTCCTTACCCTCTCTCCACTAGGAATGAGTCTCTCCACACCTTCATCTTTTTCTTTAAATGGAACCTGGAAAAACAACATTTGTATAAAAATCCACCTAAGTCCCAACCTGTCTCCTCCTCCCCAATTACTCCTGCCAAAAACGTGAACTGCTCCTCCCAAGGGAACTCATGATTATAGGAAGCAGACACATGCATATCAGCAGTGCTAATCACAGAGGAACACAGGACAGATTCAGTCTCATGGGCAATATCCACAGTGGATTTATACAATATAGTCACTGTTTCTATATAAAAACCACCAATGCACAGAGGGATTAAGTGACTTGCCCAAGGTCACAAAGGAGTCTGTAATTAAATCCAGACTTCCTGATTCCTTCTACAGTGCCTTACCTTTGAAATCATCCTCTGCCCTGCAAATGCCCTCTCCCGATCTAGCTGTTCTCCTCTTCTCCACCACATGTGCTTACAAGCAAAATTCCCGCGGGCTCCCCACCCCCGTCCCATCAGTTGCTGATTCCTCAGACTGTTTTCTTTCACAAGCATCCGTCTAATCCTCTTCCCTCAGCTGTTCTCAGTGACGGTACTGGGGCAGGTCTCAGACAATAACTGCATAATTCCAAACATTAGTCTGAGTTTGTGTCATGCTCTGGATATATACCCAGTCCTTTCACCTGAATTAGTTTACAGTTTATGAGATAAAAAAGGCTTTGCTTGAACACATCATTGTAAGTGATGCCACAGAAACATTTACACTCATGTAGCTAGAAACCTCCATGTAATCAAAGGCCAGTTTACTATTACACACATTATGTGTGGATATCTAGAGGACAGGCATCCTATAACAAAACACAGCAATCAGATCAAGTTAAAAACAGGTCAGAACATATTGAATAGATAGATAAATGGAGTTTTAATTTTTTCCTATGCATTATGGCCCATTTTATATATCCATTTTTATTGTTTTCCCCTATATTTAGCTGTGAATGCTCAAGTATGCATAGGTACATGCAAATGCACACTCAGCACAGGCGCTTCCTTACCTATTGACTGGTCTCTCGGAATCCAGCAGTTTTAAAATGGATTTACCATCCATGTCAGGTGGGATGTCCAAGCCTGCAATATCTAGAATTGTAGGAGCAAGATCAATGTTCAATACAATGTGAGGATTCCTGAAAGAAATATATAAAGACCCTGTTTAGAAAAACTCTGTGGAGGCTGCAAGCAAGTACAGAAACCCCAGCTCCTCCATGGAGGATACAGGACCTAAAAAAAAAAGCTTATTCTGTGACATCTGCACAGAACAAAGGCAGACATTTATCCAATCTAGTCAGCTATTGAAAGGGATTAATATATACAATACTAGTAAAATGCTAGGTGCACAACCTCAAGAGAGGCTAATATGACGATTAATTTAAGCACGTAGCATTTTGAGAGTGAATATGCAAAATGGTTTGTAAGGTAAAGCAAGTTAATGACTTAGAGAGGGTTCTGGCTATTTTGGGATATGAGAAAGCACATAAAGAAAAACTCTAGTGTCTCAGGGAATTAATGGGTCTGCTAGTATGGTAATGATTTTATTAAGAAGTAAATCTGGCTGATAACACATGGTTGATTTGTTTCAGCATAGAGGACAAAACCAGAAACCTGGGCCTATGCAGCAATCAAATCAAACAGCTAACAGTTCCTGTGGGTAGAGGAAGGTGGGAGAGGAGAGAAGGCAGCAAATTAGTTGAGAGGAACTGGCCTTATTTCTGCAAGTTATGATGTTACAATACTGATTTCCCAAATAGGGACCCATCCAGTCTCCAAAGAGAGGAATCTGGTACCTAACAGCTGCCTTTGTTACACGTGCAATATCATATTCTTAGGTATAATTTTACATTCTTTGAAAACAATCAAGTTGGGGCACCTTATTTAAAAAAAATAGACAAAGGGGAATATACTTTTCTGCAGCAAATCTAGTTTTGCACACTTAGGCCCAGGAGCTACTAGCCACCAGGCTAATTCAAACCCTAAGAAACCATTTGTGAATTGCAGAAGTTTGTGAGTTAAAAAGTCAGCAGGCAACGACAAGAGCAAAGATACGATGATTACTGAGCATGTGTAATTTACTTTTAATCACCAGTGACTGTTGTGTGTTATATTTGGAATTAATAATAAGGCTAAGGAATGACTACTTGCTACAGCAGCTGCTATAAAATCTTTGCTGGCAAGAAAGAGGAGATGCTGCAATTATTCTGCATGAAAAATATGAGCTCTAGGTACTGGCAAAATGCAGAGCACTGAGGTTCTACTATCTGTGGAAATTCAACTTGAAGGAAAGCATCAGTTTACTATTTGATATATCCTCTCTGCAAGGAACTTTATCCTGCTCTTCTAGGTTCTAGTGGGATAGTCTATTAAGTGTTTTTAGTCTCCGATTCCTGTGATCCTAACAGAAGTATTTTTTCCTTCAAAAAACCACTCAAATACAAAGCCCGGTGGACAGATTCTACAGGGCATCATTCATTTGTGATTTCAATGCACTTCTACGACAAGGCTGAAAGCAAGTTCAAAAGGAAATGGGAATCTTGAGGCTGAGACAATTCAGACAGGCAACCCCCTTCTTAGCTAATTATCAAAGCTAGACAGAGCCTCTGATATCTCAAACCCACTGTCTAGATAACTTACGGTGCAGCTCAGTATTGACACTCCTCTCCAAAACTATAAAGAAGGGGCTCAGTGCAAGAGGAGTAGCACTGCTGGCAAACACTCCAGTGGTATATGAGCCCCTATTTCACAGGGAGAAGGGCTGTTCTTTCCTAAGCCATTCACCCTTCTATCCAAACTACAAGGAATGAAGGGCCATATTTTCTTGTTAAACAGCAAGAGAGAGAGAGACCCCCTTTACATTTCCAGGTAACCAGGGAAACCCTGTGAGAGGAAAGCATTTCATATTCTCATAGTTACCACTAACTTTATGAAAAGTAGTCTTGAGTATGCTTGGACTTCAGTGGACTCCATTCTCCTATACATCATCTGACTATCTTAAGGTTTTATACTTCTACCCATCATGGTTGTATTGAGCATCTGCCATGTAAAACAGATATGGCAAAGTCCCCATGTACTTATGGGCTCTGGATCTTCATCTATTGTATCTCACCTACCTGTCTGTGCCTTATACTCTTCCCAATCTCCTCCCTCCTACCTGCCTCCTCACACTCATGGTTTCACATCTTCTTCTTGCTACTTCCTGTGCACTGAAGAATCTCCTATTCTCCCATCTACCAAGTCCGTCATCCCTCTCCTACAAATCTCTTTGGTATAGTATTCAGGTCTTTCTCTGGGTTTAGTACTAGTTTCCATGCATAGGGTGAAGGAAAGGGTCCGATTCTCAGAAGTACTGAGAATTCACATCCTCAAGTGGAAGTCAGCGAGAGCTGCTTAGCACCTCTGAAAATTAAGTGATGCGTCTTCCAACATTTACATCCGAAGCTCTCAGATCATTACCTGAGTTAGCGTATGAACGCTTTGAGTTGGGGATCTTGTTTATTTTACATGTAATTTATACAGCCACTATCCACGTAAATACATGTCAAGTATTTTTGGCACGACACTTACAAAAAAGTTTTAAAATCCTGAATGTGTTGATCCTATGACTTGAACTAACAAAGCAACTAAAACCCTTCTGCTACTTTTAAAGCCATTGGCTATTTTATTATACTCAATATTCGATCTTTCCCTCTGGAGTATAAGAACAAACTTGTGAGCAGAAGATTTTATACATGTTAATTATGCTAAAACATGCACATTGATATAAATAAAAGGCAGCAAATTATGGCACTCTGTCCAAAATCATTACTTAAGAGCAAATATTTGCTATTAAAATAATTGCTTAGAAAGTATATTTACATAATTTCTTAGCTGATCAAAGCTACCATTTTAATTAACAGTCATACTCCGTGTTCTTGCGTGTCACTGACAAACAACTTAAATGTGAACTCTTGGAGGACAGACTAAGGAAAATGTTTGTAGGTTACACATATGGAAAATACTATGTGGCTTTTTTTATTGAAAGCTGAAATAGGCAATACAGCGATTCTACTGTTCCATTTAATTACTTTCTGACAATAGCTATTTACTCTAGTAATGGACATTATATAATAGAATTACCGGAAAAGATCATGGCTTAGAGTGCTACTACAGAAGAAAATGATGAAATATTTCCAAGGACGGGTTTGCAAAATTTAGAAGCTTTTTCAAATGGCCTTTTCAGCTGTCCCCACGGACGGCTATATTGTAATTTGGATTGCCCACCTGTGCAAAGAAGTAAAGGGTAACAGGGCCCCCTGTTACATTGCAGCATCTGCTCTCAGCTCTTGGAGCTACGCCTAAAAAAGCAGCCTGCTCAGAGCAGAAACCCGCCTGCCCAGGATGAGCGGCAAGTGAGGGGGAAAGGAACCCTGGTTCTACCCCGCTGCTTGTAGGTCAGAGCAGCTGATCAGAGATATGTGTATAATGAACTTTTTGGATCAGTGCCAAAACAAAAAAATGGGGAATAAATCATGTTAGATCAATTAAACATTTCGCTTCATTTGAGGGTTACTTATCACCACCACTCCCCCCCGCCACACCATCTCTGCCAATTTTAAATTTAATTCAATTCTGAACCAAAAAAATTAAAATAGAAAGTCAAACCATTTTGTTTTGAAAGTGCCAAACCTAACATTTAGATTTTTCAAAAATTTCCCCCATCTGACATTTTTGGGGGCTGAAGGCATTCTCTGAAAATGCCCCAAATTCACAAATAATTTTGGTCCTCCTCCGAATGCATTTTTGGTGAACGTACCAAAATCATCCAAAGAAATTTCATCTAAATGAACCAACGAAAAGGACATCAGTTTATTCCTAATACAGAACACCTAAACTATGATCCAAACAAAGTAGGAAGGAAGCTGGGGAAGTTTGTCTTGGGGCCCCTCTACACATGCAGGTAAGGCAGGGATGGGAAAACTGCAGATCCGGTCAGCAGACAGACTCCATTTCCCACCAGCCCTTTCCTGCATGGCTGGGACCAGTCTCCATGGAAACCCCAGCCACAGCTGCGCTGTGATAGCACAAGGCTGGGGTTGGCATGGAAACAGGCAGGGCAGGAGGCTGCTCCAGTGCTGCTGGGATCTTGCACCAGGGGCAGCTTGGTCCAGGGCCAGGGCACAGTCGTGATCCACTGCCTGTGTTTCCCTGCCTGGAGCGTGCAGGGTGCAGATCACAGCTCTGCTCTGGCTACTTGTAGTGGTGACAGCGTGGTCCTGAGCTGGGGCAGACCTGCAATCCGCTGCTTACACGCCCCCGCCCAGAGCGTGCAGGCTGCAGATCAGGGCTCTGCCTTAGCTCCAGACAAAGCTGCCCCCGCCGTAAGATCCCAGTAGCTCTGGAGCAGCCTCCTGTCCTGCCCTGCCATGCGCCCTGCCAGCATGGCTGGGGCCAGTCTCCACGGCAACCCCAGACTTGCGCTATCACAGTGCAGCTAAAGCTGGGGTCTCCATGGAGACCAGTCCCAGTCACGTGGGCAGAGGCTGCTGGGAAATTAAGTCTGCTGCCGGCTGGATACAGCCCATGGGCCGGACTTTGCCTGCCCCTGAGGTAAAGGCATGAAAGGATCTAATGTGTAATCCACCAGTCGTGCTTCCTGCCATGCCACACATCATACCTTATTGCTGGTGTAGAAGGAGCCCAATCCTGACTTGTGAGCCCAGTCCTGGGCTCCCCCTGCACCAGTAAGAAACAGGCTCCCACAGTCAGGAGTGCCCTTTGCTGACAGGGCTTCCAGCTGTGAAGGCCAAGCACAACTGGGATGAAGTCCCATGCCTGATGGCGCTCTTGGCCCCTGCTGCACCACACACACAGCTGGGACCGAAAATCCCTGCATGTGACATGGCCCTTGGTCATGGCTGAGCCCCACATGTAGTACAGCTGGGACAGAGTCCTCTCAGCTGTAGGACTTGGCTCCCAAAGCTGTGGGGTGCTGCCGTGGTCTCCCAGATGAAGGGGTGTGGGGAGCACCCCACAGCAAGAGACTGCATGGGCTATGATGGTTCAGCCCCAGGGTTGTACTGTGCTCCCCAGTGGCTGGGTGATCACAGCAGCTGTGGTCTCCCAGCTGTTGGACTGCCTATACATACAAATTAAAGCTGGATAGAAACCAGCTATCAAGTTTTTACACATTTTTGAGCAATAACTTCATAGCTGATTGGACCTTTTTAAGGCATGATACTTAATTTGCATGTGTAGCCAAGTCTGAATTTACTGTGCACTTAAAAGTAATTGCTCAATAGAGATAATGTGGAGAGGGGGCCTTAGAGTCGACCATGCTTCCTAGGATGGTAGAGATTATGAACTAGTCCTTGCTTACAGACTGTCATCCAGCTCCAAGCCTTTCATTCTTTTCACCCTGCCAAGCACTGCACATGTAAAGCAGGCAAACTATACCTGCCTAATTAGTGAAGAGAGGACTCTATCATGTTGCACAATTTCAAACGTGACCCTTTTTTAAAAATCTGCTTGCACCATTGTATTTCCCCGAAGGTATATTTAAAGCCTTGCTATATGGCTACTGGCCCCATAAATTTTGTTACAATCATCACATCAATCTCACAAAAAGCAATTCAGGAGCTAAAGCCAAGGACTTACAAAGAACCGGCCTCCACATTTGGACCTCGCACGTAAAAAGGAACTCTGATATCAAACTCATAAGGCATGGACTTCCCTTTCACCAGTCCAAACTGTCCAATATGATAGCCATGGTCTGCTGTATATATTATATAAGTATTGTCCAGTTCACCTGTTTCAGCCAGTGTATTATAAATCTGGAAAAAAAAAGTATAACATGCTTTTCATTAAACAACCCCAAATGCACAGGATGTGAAATTTCAGAAGACTGCCACTATTTCAAATGCCTGAATGTGAGCTCTTAGGTGCTGAACTCTTTTGATAAATCTTTCCCTTTCTTTCCTTATAATATCATATATAGCAAACTGTCTTAATAACATGGCAGCATTTAGAATTTCACACATTTGTGCAACATTCAACAGTCTTGGCAACAGTCATACGCGTCTTCCTTACGCATAACGTTCCCAAAATCTACCCCTAGCTAATCAACAGCCAATTCTAGTCATTCTTGCTATCTGAAGGTGTTTATACGTGTGCTTTGGGTGTGTGGGGAGTGGGAGGTGGTGCTTTCATTAGAGATGCTCCAAGAGCTGCTCTAATTAAAGTGCCTGGAGTATCTCATGCATCAGCGTCCCCTTGCTTAAAAATGGCGGGGGCACTTTAACTAAAGCTCATCAAATGCTGCTGCCGTTTTTAAGTACGGGGATGCTGATACACGAGATACTGAAGTCTGTTGGAGCACGGTAATTACCACACTCCAGCAGCCTCAAATAATCGAGTTTGCTCTGGCGCTCTGTCATTGCAGCATATCAAAGCAGCCTTGCTGTTCATGTAGAGGAGCCCTGAAAGAACAACGTGGTAAGTTAACTCTTAATTCTAAAAGCTATTACTTTTAGGGAGTTAAATGCAAACCTCGATGGGAATACTTAAATACAGAAATTGATCTCTCATCAAAGGACATTTCATCCTTGACATCTGCTCAGTTTCTATTATTTTGCCTGAATCTAACAATATGGCACTAAAGCAATTTTCATTAAGGAAACACATTTGGGATCAGTGTTTGGAAAAATCTGAGCGTAAATTCTCCTCTTCCGCTATTGAGTCAGAAGAAATGTCACGTTAGCCAAGAGCTTCATCAGTATAAATTAAGACAAAAAAACCAGACTTCATAGGTCTGGACCATTATAGCATGTGATAATGTGGAGAAAATCTGATAAACAAAATGCGAATCCCTTTAGGAGATACAGGCTGAATCAATGCCATTGATGGTCCATGGGAAAATAGCAGCAACCTCCTTACAGAGGTAAATTCAGACAAACCATTGACAGCAACTGTATTTAAGAAGGTTGCAATGATTTCTCAGGGCCATTTTTGTTGCTCACATACTTAAAAAATGGACACACTTCTTTTAAAAATAAAAGAATGTTAGGTGCATACATTTTCACAGGAAGATTAAGCTCAGTGGCATTGGCTACCTCTTAGTGATGGCAATGACAGGAGACAAGAAGCAGCACAATCTAACACCTTCAAATATGCCTTTCTACAGCAGCAAACAAGCCCAAGTAACGGCCTGAAGACTCCTACTCAAGACATACAACTTGTAAACAGAGTGAGGGGGTAAGGGGAGTTCAATTTTCTTTTCTTTTCTTTTTTAATGACAAACTTTTTGGAGCTTCTGTTAAGAAACATGCACCAGCTGGGTTTGAAAAAGAGATCAGTAATCTTACCATTTCCATTGAATCATCCACAGACATGAGTGTTTGCAGGCGTTTTCTCTGTAACATGTTGGTAAACTCCATGTGAATAGGTTTCATGGGACCAGTATATCTCATTATCCAGTGCTTGTCTGGGTTGGGAGCGTAATTATAACTAGGAGTACTAAGAAACAATAAGGAAAACAGAGCATTGATATTTTGAGGGGGAAAATGGAGTCCCGTGCACCAGTAAAATCTATTTGACCAACACTATCAGACTAACTTCAAGGTATGTAGAAAACCTACATTTCTGACAGAAAAGATTCAGCCTTTTATATTTTATGTGAAAAATGGGAGCATGAAAATAGCTCTTCAGGAAGTAAACCCATTGAAAATAAATACGGTTTTAACAGCATCCTTCAGACTAACAAGGATATATGCCAAGGCCAACAAATAAACCTCCAAAGTCTAACATTGCAACCAGGGAGCATTATTTGAACCAGCAGTGTGTACAACTGAATTTCCACTCATATAACTGCTCCACTTCATTCTGCCCATGCTAATATTGGTTACGACGTGTTGTGCAAGCTCTTTAATCGTAACTACCCAACCTGCCAGAAAGGTTCTGCATAACAGGCTACTTAAATATTTTAACACACATGTACCCAGGGGAGCACAAGTACCCTACCTGGTGGTATCAAACTGCATGTGAGCGCATGGCAAGCAGAAGTAGGTACAAAGCCGCATTTTAAAGACCTGCCAAAAAAAGCAGGGGTACGGGGAAATAGGACTCTATTTGATAGGTATTTTCCAGCCCTAACACTTCCATAATCATCAAAAATGTTCAAATTACAAAATGGATGAGTGCACAACATGGAAAGAGAATCCTGCCAAAACCCAAAGAGCTAGATTTGAGGTCCTGCCTAATCTTAGTGCCCTTTTAATTCATAACAATCCCGTTTTCATGCAAGTATCAATATTTAATGTGGAGAAGGGCATCACTGTCCTTCATTTCATTTTGTTTGGTGGTTCTGGAGCTTGATCTTTTTATGTATAATTATATTATACCATAGTGGTTACTCTTCACATCAGATGTCTTTTTTCTATTGTTGTCTTTACTTCAATTTTCAAGAAACACTATTATTTTATTTATCTTTCTTAGATGTGTCGAGGATGTTTGCCATCATTTAAGGCCTACCACCGTGTTTTACTTATTTTTAGGTATCAGTTGGTACACAGGCTTGGATCCGACCACACACAGTTTCACAAATATGAGAGGTGTTTTTCCCCAAATGAGCAATCTGCTCAGATGCCTCTTTTGGTTTCAAAATATTAGATCAATCTGTGCCATCTACCTGTAAAATACAAGGTGGTGAACCAGAGGCATAGCAAAGAACAGAAGATTTTCCTTTAGTTATTTTCTGATTTCTAACATTCAATTTACAGGTAAATTATACATGCATCTTGCAAAAAAAAAAAAGAAAAAGCAGCAGCCATTATTGTTTTGCATGCATCAGAGTAGCAAGATAACATATAGCACCAGGATAAATAATAATAGATAGCAAAAACTGAAAGGTTTCTTCTAAGAAATCAGTTGCACTGAGTGTATCTTTGAATATCATTGGTACCAAATACCCTTAAAAGTTTCACTTTTCAAATAAACATGAAAATAATACCAGATAATTGGATTATGACAATTTATGTGGAAAGCTTTACGTGAGATCCTATCTGAAAAACGCACAGGCAGGGAAGGGAAGATTCTTCATATGGGGAGAAAAGGCTGCTGTTTATTCTCTGTGCATGGTTAACAGTATCTTGAATTTCAGAATGTTATTGTGGCTCAAATAATGACATTGCTCCTTTGAAAATGCTGACAGTTATGGAAACTGTTGCTATGTAATGCCCAGAATGAATCAAAATGCTTGGCAAACTCCTTTTCAGCTTACTTTGTGATTTCCTGGCTGATTTGAAACCTCCCGCTGCTTAATCCACCCCTGGCCCATGATTTTCTTTGATTACTACAAATGTAACCCTCTTACACTTCCCAGATTTGTCTATCTTTCGGGCAAAAACGCAAAACATAACATTTCTGGAAGCGGGACAAAATAGCCCTTTCAAATTTATTCAAAGGAAAAACAAATTCCACCATACTGATTATTCTCTATATACTGATTGTATCTGACGCTGGAAAATGGGGGTGGAGGTTGGGGAAGTGATAAAATATGTACTATTTACAGAAACAGCAGTAATGGCCACTATGAAAATGCCCAGCTGTCTAGTTCAGTTCAACTATTGGTCTAGGGAGAAAGAAAGGAAACCTAAAAAAACAGAAGGCTGGGGGATGACTGATTTTTGAAAATAAGACTGCAATTGCACATAAAGTATGTGTCAGCAACTGTGGCATAGGTAAGCGTAACTCTAACTGCTTTAATCTAGCTGGCACAAGTAACACACAGTAACGAAGATGTGGCAGCATGGCATAGCAACCAGACTGCATAGCCAGGGTCACCTGCATGCATGTACCCTGGGTGGTAGCCCATACCATCCCCATGCCTTGACTACAATCGTTACCATTCATAGCTACATTTAAGTTAAAACCGTATTACAATTACACCTTCGTTTTGCTGTATGGACAGCCCCTAAAAGCCAGAATTTGAGCAGTAACCAATGCTTCAACCAAAACTGGGAGGAAAAGGTATGGTGCCTTTATGTTGTCCATGATCCCAACCAAACACCAGTGCAATTCAGAGCAGTTTCAGGGCTTCTCTAACCTACACCATGGTCCACCAGCCACATTAGGCCTTTTCCCTGGCCATGCTCTACCACCTCTCCCATACAGACCTGCAGAGGTGTAACAGGGTGGCTCTGCACTCTGGGCAGCAGCAAAGCACAAGGCAACCGTGCAATTTTTGCACCCTGTTGCAAAGGCAGAACTTGGAGCTGGTGGCTCGGCTGCCCTTGCTCAGTTACGCTAGTGCAGAGATGGGATATGCTAGCAGTACATCACCTGTTATTAAGGGATTGACGTGGTAGTTTGGGGTAGGAGAAATATGGAAATCAGATGACTAGTTTGCCTGTGTAGCTGTCGACACTGTGTATGCAACTGCATGTTTAACTTTTATTTGAAAATTAGGCCATATGTACTCAGTGCAAGGAACACTAATTGTATAAAACGTCTGAAAATATATCCCATGTAATGCATTAATAGCTGACCACTTCTAATTAGATATTTGTGCATTGCTGAAAATAGTCTCTTCTTCTCATTATTCCTTTTTACTTAAGCAAAATGCTGCATATCATTTTCATATTGTATTGTGCTGTAAAAAGTGTTCAAAATAATTGGAAGCAAGCAGTTTCCCTGCATAAGATGCATATAACAGAGCCTACTTAATATGTACATCTAAAAGAATAATAAAATTGTTTAATCTACCAAGATGATATACTGCTTTACAAATCAATAATTCTTGTAAAGTACCAGTGCCTATAAATTAATAGTTTAATAACAGTAATAAGAAAATTCAGCTGCAATTATAAAATCCCACAGTGGTTTCCATAAAAAACATCTCCCAGCCAGGGAAATAAATTCAATTTGCATGAAAATAAAAAGTAAACAATGTGAAAGGAAAAAAAAAAAGTGCACTGCATCTTTTCATTCCCCCCTCCCCTCCTCAGCTGCTTCTACCCCTTTCTCTTTTAACCATGATAATTAAATTGCTGTAGAGCATTGTTTGGAAAACGATTATCATCTCCTAGATGAGGGTGCCTTCCAAAAGCGTTCCTAATAAGGCTGAGGTCAACTCTCTGTATGAGCAACAGCAGACAGTACTCATTTTGAGCTTCTGTAGCTTTCATTTCAAAGGAGAAGAAACCAGCACAGGATGGCAAACAACTTAAACATGAAACACTGTATCACTTCAGGCCCAAGAGACAGATTCTCTTTAGCGACATCATGCAGCATAAAGAAATATACAATTTTTAGCGCTCTAATATTTAGGCACTAAAACACAGGAAATTTGTGCTGTCTTTCTCTATCCCTCACTCAGACCTTTTTCAGTGAAATCAGTAAAGGCTCCCACTTCATTTCACTGGGCTTTGGACCAGTCCCACAGAGCTCAACTCTTTAAGGTAGCGTGTGCTACTCTGTAATTTGTTGATAACCTTACAGAGTCAGTTCCAGGCTTCTACATAAAACTGAAATAACCTGCAATGCGTCTTCAAGCTAGATATGCAGGATTTGAATATGGAATCATTGTGTTGCCCATTACAGGCAGGGAGAAAAAATTACAAAGACTGAATTTTGGTGAAAGTACAAGTCTAGTAGTCTGATCATCTTGCCAAAGACTTCCTGGGTAATGCTGGCCAGTCATGCATCTTGCCTGTACCTCAGTACCCTGCACCTCCCCCACAAGATAAAATTTCTACTTATCTGAATGGTGGTATTATCCACAAACTGACAAACAATTCACGTGTACACATGCCAGAGTAACAATGTAAAGGCCAGAACCTAGTGTTCATAATCACATTAAACAGTACCGTATTTCACAAGCAATATTACTGATGTCAAACTTACCCCACTTTAAAGCCAGAGAAATGAGGACAAATCAGTTCCAATGAACAGGTCACAAAGTCCAGTGAAGTCAACATTAATCTTTCCAGTGACTTCAGTGAACCTCAGTGAAGGACCACGGATGTGGGCCCTATTGCCAACTTGCATATAACATTTTGCACATTCATATAAAAAGTCACAATGTTTCTACTCTTGCTATCTGTGTGCAGGAAACTGTGTGCTTCAGAAAGGTGTCCTCTAGCACCCTGCACTGCTCTGAACAGGCAGCCTCCAAAACAGGAGACAGTGCAGCCGTGTCTGCCTGGTGCTTCATATGGACCAATTCACACTGCCGAGTGACACTGCCATACAGCTTGCTTGCAGCACCATGTAGACACAGCTGCATTGCTTCTGCTTTAGGAAGCAGCTCAACTGGAGCAGCTCGTGCAATGTGCTTAATGACACCATTCTAGAGTGTAGCAGGTTTATCAGGTAGAGTTTGTCAGGTCTTATAACGAATTTATAAGAAAATTCTAATGGACCAAGCAGTTGTTTCTACTAGAAATACCCAGTTCTGTTTCTTGTGCCTGGAAATACAGGGATTTCCTTTTCCTTACATATGTTGTGAAGCATTGGGAAACAGATGTGAATACTGAGGGGCTGAATCCTCAGGACCATGTGGAGCAGCATGGCTGATAACCATCAATACTGGTCTATGCGGATACATCTTCTTCGAGATTCTGAAGAAGCTAACACTGTCGTTGGTGATTAGATCAGTCAGATAATCCTGGAAGAGGAGGAAAGATTTTTAACAGATATTTCAACAACACTTTTAAAGTCCTAAAGTGACTTCAGTTCTTTTCCACTCTTCCTCCAAAACATCTACAATGCTAGATGCCACGTGTGGAATTGGAAGGACCAATAATCTCATTCCACCTCATAGACCCAGAGTCACAGACACCAGGATAATAGGTGCAGTATACGAATCTAGATAAAAGGTTCCACTTACAAGACAGTGTTGAGAGCTCAGGAAAGTCACCTGGGAAGAAAGGGACTTCACATGTTTTTAAGTCATAAAGATCATCAGATAAATTGTATACCTACTGGAGTCAAGTGGACTGAAGACACTGAAGAAGTGACAAGAAAGCTCCTTAAGCACCAGCATGGCATGATTTGTTACAGAATATCACAATTCTAGTATTGCTTTTTAAAAGGTCAAATACATGCAACCAGTTTTCAATGCAAAGCAAAAGCCTATAGACTGACTTGCTTTGGTCCAGCACAAATATGAGCCTGTAAATTTCTTAAGCATAATAAAGCATGCCAGAAGAGGTTTTGTCCTTCTATCTAGCTGTGAAGTATGATTTCACACTGTAGTCTGAAGAACACAATAGTACCTGTCAGACAACCTTGAAAAAAATTAAATTGATTAAAAATAAGCAACTGCAAAGCCTATGAGATCTAGGAGCCCTTGTTACTAGGGCTGTGTGAAGCTTCGGGTGGTGATTCGATTCGGAAGAGATTTGGCCTGATTCGGTGGCTGAATCTCTGAATCTAAATTGAATCAGGAGATCGATCAAAAGGTCCAAATCAATTTGAAGCTCTCTGAATCTCCAGAAAAGGTTTGGAGAGCTTTGATGATTCAGATAGTCCCTGGTAGCTGCAGCAGGGAGCTGCAGCTGGACTCAGAGCTGGTAAGGAGGGGGCGGGGGAAGAGAGTCTGGTGGAAGGGGGAGGGGACCATGGGAGGGACCCCTGCCAGCCCCAATCCCCTGCCTGCTTGCCCAGCCCCCCTTACCCCC